CGGAGTGGGTTTTATACCCTCTGAGGCTCTTGAGTTTGTTTTCTGTTCCTGTTTGAGGCTTTGTATTTCTTGTGTCATGTACTTTGACCTGAGTCTGAGTGTGCCCCTTTGGCATCTGTGGGTTAATCCTATTAGTCCTGTCTTAGAATTTGGGTGGGGTATGCAGATTTTAGGTGTCTTTGTCTTCTTAATCTTCTATCTGGAGATCTTCAACTTTCCTGAATGGATTATTAATCTGCATTTCTACAGAGCTGGTTTCTGTTTGGGGGAGGGAGACTTGGGGCTATTAAGAAAAACTGGGCATGCTTTTCTGCCTCTTTAAGATCCTTGGAAGAAATATAATATTCTGTCCTTTTAATATTTCCTTCTCTAGGGGGACTGACTTTCCACAGAATGAATCAAACAATCTCAGGATTAAAAGATAATCTGATCCAACTTTTAAAAATATTATTTTAATCATAATTTTACAATATGCATATTAATACTGTGGTATGTATATTAATCCTTTTTATGATTCAGAACTAACCTGAATACCATGTCAATATATTTTCTCTGTCTCTGTGTCTATGTATTCAGCTAAAGGATGGTGATGTTTCACAACAAGAGAGAATGTCTCAATATATCTTCATTTATTAATATATTAATAACCTATATTTATTCCCATGTATGGGAATCTTTTGTGTTACCAATATTATATCATTATTACTGTTATTGCTCCATTGTTTGTTTAGAGTAGCAGTGATGTGATAATAATGCTGCAGATGACATTGTCAAATATATAACAGAGAAAATTTCAGGAACTTGATTGCAAACTAAGTACATTAAATCTATCAGAAGCTGAGCTACCTAATTTCATCCCTATTTTGACAAAATCACAACTCCAGATACTGGCATTCTGCAATGAATTTAAACAGTACAATCAAATATTGGGAAGAATGGCCATTCAACTGATTTTTTTTTTTTAATAGAGGCTTGTGTTTTTAATCCAGATTTTTACAGAGAGTAACAATCTATTCTAGAATCAGGCTGTCTTTTAGATTGCCAGATTATCATTCCCATTCCCCTTTAAGATTGTTTTATGAGTTTAGAAAAAGCAATACAGAAATAAAATATTTGATGAGGTTGGTAATAGATGTTGGATTGTGAATACTTTTTTTAAAGTTTACTTTCTTTCCTTTTTTATTTTTCCACTGTTCTAAGAAATCTACATAGATGGAAAAGGAATGGAATAATTGGGAAATTTTGTGTTTCAGACATGAAGAAACCAACATTTTATTTTTTCTTCTTCTAAGTAAATCTGAATAATAGATACAATCTTAATAAGATCTGGTAAAACGTAATGTAAATGCTAGCAATCTGTTCAGCAATTAAATCCATTCCCTTTGTTATCTGGCCTTCCTTACCATTTCTTAAACACTGTAGATTGTATATACAAATAAGAAAGCATAGGAAATATTAGTCTATTCAAACATTTCACTCAGTTTCTGCTGCCATAATGCCAGATTTAACCATTTTTGACAGGATCATCCATAACTATGAGCAGCCAAAGAGTCTTGATCTCTATTCCTGAGTTTCAACCCCTATAATATTTCCATTGTTTCTAAAATCAAAACAAAACATATTAATGGCATATCTTGTTTAGAGAAATGGCTGAGATATTAAGTCCATCTCCTTTGAGACCATGGTTATTTCTTTTTCTTTTTTGTGGACACTTAAAAGGCAAAATTAGAGCTAATCACCCATTCTTTTGTGTGAGCTTTTAAATTTTTCCCCAATTCTAGATATCTGAATATGTCTTAATTGCTGATTATCAACACTGAATTTTTCAAGCATATATTAGGTAAAAACCTATTTGTGTCAATGCAGCATATCTTTCTGCTTCTATATAATGGAAGTTAATTAATGGAACATGTTGCTAATTTCTGATATCATAAATCCTATTGAATTTGCACCCTTGCATATATTTGGCTGCAACAGTTGTTTAATTCTTCTCCAGTTTACTACCAGTTCCTATGTTTAAAGTTCCTGCAGCAAATGAAGTGATTTCTATGTCACTCTTTTTAATGAAAATGTCGTTGGTTGTTGGCAGTGAGAAGCTGACAATCCCTGAACATATTATTGTAAAAGGCAATACCAGGATTTTAAAAACTGCTCTGAAATTCATGAATGTTGGCTCCAGATTATTGTATGCAGTTGAGGCTGGTTTCTACTGAGCTATAGAAATCAGATTACTCAAACAAAACCAATTCTATTATGAAATAAAAGTACTAAAGTGTTAGACACAGGGAAAGGTGCAATTGGCTATTAAAGGTGCATTTGGCCATTATGTTATGAAACACCTTTTCAAATGGAGAGAAAAATCAGGCATGAGAATAATTCAGCAAGAATATTTCTGCCTCCCAATATCATCCAAAACAAGAAAAGATTTTTTCAGATGGTCAGTTGCATTAATCAAAACGGAATTTGCTTCAAACTCTTTCACATAGCTATGTTCTTGCAGCCAGTGAGTTATAACATTTATTGATCAAACTGCGAATGGTCATTTTCGGAATTAATCTATATGAAGATTATTTGGTGATTGATTTTTCCAGCCTGTTATTTTTCCTGATATATTTAATGCCATGTGAATTCATTCTATTTCCTAGTACTTTTTTTTGTATTGCCAAATAACTTATCAAGCCCCGACACCTATTTTCCAGAGAATTAGCCTTTATTATCAACTCTGACTTGCCTCTATATTGTCAGCTGAGATTACATGAAACTGTAATTATATTCTTTGTCATTTCAATAACAAAAAAGAATTGACTCTAGTCAAATGACTAGGACAGTGATGGCGAATCCTTTAAAGACCGAGTGCCCAAACTGCAACCCAAAACCCACGAATGCATCATCAGGTGCCAGGTGGGCATGGCCCATTGGGTGGGCCGACTATGGTGGTAACAGCAGACTGGGTGGGATTAAAAAGTTCAATCAATCAATTCCAACTTTGCAAGATCTTTTTTTTCCCGCGAGTAGTTGAAATTAACTGATTGAACCTTTTTTTTTTTTTGGTGCACGGCGGCAGAGGCCTAAAGCAAAAAGATTTTATAAAAGCCAGCTGAAGGCCTAGGACTGGGGCGACGGCACGTGTGCCCACAGAGAGGGCTCTGAGTGCCGTCTCTGGCACTCATGCTATACATTCGCCATCACTGGACTAGGATCTAAAGAAAGCCAACAACATGTGCACAAAAGAAGAAAACGCTGCCTCAACAAGTGTAGGAAAAACAACTGAAAATTTCCAAAGGTGTGTCTATTTGAATTTTCTTGTAGCTGACAACAAATTGTCTCATGTTTATTAATAGGCTGACAAATGGATTTAGTGGACTTAAGATCTTCACATTTAGTGCCTGATGTTATTACAGTACAAAAATATTTCTGACCAGGGGATGTCCAGGCAAGGAATCAAAAAAATCAAGATGGCAGCTACGAGTAAAGTTTTTTTATGTGGTTCATATTGCACACTCAAAGACCCCACTTTGATATTTGATCTTTTTAACACTACTGCCCCACCATGAATAATCCTATTCCTGATGGAGTAACAGACACCTAGAATGTCCAGGAAGAAATTATTTTTGGAATTCTGAACTAAAGCACTTCACGCTATAAATTTTTGTCAGAAACCTTGCTTATGTAATTATGATATGAAAACAAATCTGCTATGAACATGTGAATTTGAGAAGCCTAAATGCAATGGGGAGAGATGAAACAAAGCAGTGTTGACTGTTGTATCATGTTATAGACAACACTTCCAGAATATTAGCCGTGAGCCTTGTTCAGTGCTCAGAGCTATGACATGCTGATTCCATTACCATGAGAGAACAAAGCTAAGATTTGTAGCTGGCCACATTAAAGAAGCCAAAGCAACATTATCATTATCATCCCATAAAGTTCTGATAGGCAGAGAATACAATGGGGTAAAGAACTCATTGCCTGATTATTCATATCAATGTCAGAAAGCACATCATAAATATTTATAAATAAATATTCAGCGCTTCCTACCATCAGTATTTTCTGTTTTGAAAGATGCTTGCAACACTGTATATTATCTGTATTCATTCCAGAAGCAGCAGAAAATTCACTGAATCTGCAAAGCTCTTTACATCAAAGGAACTCTCCATTTCAATTCACGTGTCCATCATAGCAGGTTGCTGCTTCAATTCACAGATACTCCAGTGTAGATTCAGACAAACCTTTATCAATTTGAAGTGAAATTTAAAAGCTTTATATATATCTAGTTCTCAAATCAGCAATCAATCATATCACACTCTTCCTCACCAATAGATAAACAGAAGGATCTCTAGCAAATCAGTTTTCATCAGCTAGCCCAGAAGGGGAGAAGGCCTTCCTTATCTCCCCATTCCACCCCAAAGTGAAAGATAATAAATTTCAAATGTGTTATCAGTCTGCTATAGGGATATTTCCCATGACATGGCTATGTATTAAAACCACGTGACATATTTGAACTTTCTACTATAATTGGACAACAAAATTGGAATGCAGAAAGATATTCACCTTATCGGGCGACTCTATCAAAATAATACTGCAAATTTCTTTCCTTTAAATATCACATCTGTAGTAGAAGGAAACCAAGACCAAGTATAATACATTTTCAATGACAGCATTGGCTGCCGCATGGCAGTGTGAGCTTCCATCACTCGTTCCAGCTCCTGCCAACCCAACAGTTTGAAAGCATACAACCATGAGTACATAGATGGGTACCACTTTGGTGGCAATTTAACAGGGATATGAAGTGAGTCCCCAACTGGGTATCCTCTGGCAACAGTGTTGTCACTGGCTGATCATGGAAATGATTTGGTGCTTCTTACACAAATGTACAGTAATACAGAGACATCATTGGCTGATCTTTGGATTGAAGTGAACATCTCAGTTAGTTTAGAGAGCAGATCTGAACCAACATCCAATAGTGTCCAGGGGCTGTTGTCATCATACAGCTAGAGAAAACAAATATAATCAGAGGAAAAAGTGGAATCAGCCCAAATCCCTTCACATTTAATTGCATTTGTATTTACAAAAAAGCATATTTTCAATGGCAAAAGAGGGGAAAAGATATTTATTTATTAAATTTATGTGCCCCTCATCTCACAATTTGATGACAGCATCCATACAGGCATGTTTCATATTCATTTATTTCATTAAATTTATTATAAGGAGGTGCAGTGGTTCAGTGGTTAATGATGCTGAGCTTGTTAGCTGGAAAGCTGACAGCCCCAGTTCAAGACCCAAGTACCGTGCAATGGGACAAGCTCACATTACTTGTCCCAGCTCCTGCCCACTAGCAGTTTGAGTAGATAAATAGGTATTACTTTGTGGGAAGGTAACATTATTCCATGCACCTTGGCGTATAGTCATGCTGGCCACAATGCTGGCTCCCTCGGCTAAGAAATGGGGATGAGCACTGTCCCTTAGAGTTGGACATGACTGGACAGGGGAAATTTATATCTTTAAATTTATTATATCTGCCCATTGCAACAGTCTCTGGGCAGCTTACAAACATACTTTTGCAAAGTGCTGTAATATTAAATTTAGTGTATAAAACATCTCCAATACAATAGTCATTGAACTGAGTAAAGACAAAAATTTTGCATTAGATTAATAAATAATTTAAATTTAGAAAAAAGCCATATTTGGCTGCTCATGCCAGTGTTTGACAACAATACTTTTAGGAGTAGCAAAAATGATACCAAACCAATTTACATGGACAATTCATTTCCAAGCTATTATATCAGACTCATTCAAATTCCATACCATGTTCTTCCCAAAATCATCATCATTAGATCCTGGGGAGAGCACATTGGGCAGCAAGTGTATTGAAGCAGTTTCTATCATTCTCAGCATCGTTTGCATCATCCCAAGGTACATTACTAATCTTCCTTAAATGTTTTGCGCCAAGTTTTCCAAGGCTGGCCTCGTTTTCTCTTTCCTTCTCTTCCCTTCAGTACAATTTCTGGATGTCGGTCTTTAAGCATACATAAGACATGGCCAACAAACTGGAGTCAATGTTCATTCACAGTTCTTGATATGTGTTCTCAATCTGATCTTTGTAGTACCTCTTAATTAGTGATGTGGTCACAATATGATACATAGAATATTCTTCTCAAGCAGCATTGTTGGAAAACATTTAACCGTTTAATCATTTTGGCTGTACGCTTCAATGTTTCACAAGTATATGTTGCAGTTGGTATAGCAACACTCTTGAAGAATTTTATCTTTGTGGCAATACCTATAGTTATCATAGACCAAACTGGAAGCAAGCATTGAAACACAGTTGCTGCCATTCCAGTTTGATGGTTAATGTCCTTATCTGTACCTCCATCAATAGACATAATTATACCATGTTAAGCACATTGTTGGACTTGTTCTATAGCCTGGCTATGGACTGTTATAGGCATATTATCCTGAGCACTTCCAACTTGCATAAACTTTGTCTTTTCAAAATTTATACATAAGCCAATCTTTTTGGCTTCAGTAACTAAATTGGAGGTAATTTCTTGAAAGCACCCCTTTGTTTCACCAACCAATGCAATATCACCTGCAAAATCTAAAACCACAATTGTTGGAGATGAGGAAGATGACACAAGTGAAATATATACATCACAGTATGAACTTTGCCCTTAGCATTTGCATGGGATGTTGCCCTGCAAGTATGAAAGGACAAAGTTCTCAAGTCACAAGGAGTCTTCATGCCATCTTGGAGAATGGTTGTCCAATCTGTTCTTGAAAACCTCCATCAATGGAACACCCACGACTGTGGGACGCAAGCCATTTCAGTGATTTAATAATTCTCAATATCAGGAAATTGTTCCTTATTTACAGTAGTTCACTTTCTATTTTCCAGTCATTTCAAAGAATTTTAAAGTTGGCCATAAGGTCATCTTCTTGCTGACTTTTGAAAGCTGAGGATAGTCAAGGAAACCATAATTAGTGGTTCAGAATCAATATGCTCTTCAATATGCTCTTGACAAATAGAAAATGCAATCTCCTACCTCTTGAGTTATAGTACCCCTGAATAAGGGGGAAAAACGTAGTTTCATATGTAAACCCAATCAAGAGCAATTGCTACTATTCCCTAATGTGTTGTTTGCATATGCTTGCCTTAGCTCTGAGCTATGTTATAAGAAAATGGTATCATCCTTTGTATATCTATATCCCCACTGAAAATGAGTATCACATACTACCACAGTTTTGCAGCAAAGTATTTTTCTCAACATCTGCAACTGTGGTGATGGATTATAGCGTAGACTCTCTATGTAGATAAAGTTGAGAGGAAAAACAAGTAATAGCTTGCTTGAACCACCAGAAAGGCCATATTTCAGTGTCTGCTGTTTATATGAGATAGAAAAATCAAGACAAATTTGGAAAAGGGAATATTATTACTTGGAATAGTGAAGATGATTAGAAGGATTAAGGTTGTCCAGTACTGTTTGTTCCAAGCTCAGGCTGCATAGTCAAGTTAGCCAAAAATTCTTACCACTGGACAATGCTTCAAGTGAAGCCCTACACAGCACATGCAATTGCTTGAGTTGGTTTGTAGAAGAAATGAGTTTGGCTCCCAAGGAAGACAACTCCTATGAGCGGAGGCATGTAGTGCCAATACTGAAGTGATGTCAAATCCCTGTATGTCAATATTCTAATTCCTTAACGGCAGTTTTACAACATGTTTCACAGTTGCAGTGAATAACTGTGATCAGAGGGGCATGGAGCTGGTGACAAAATAGTGCCAAAGTCCCATGTAGAAATATCCTTAATCCTATGCCATTATAACTCTAACTGGCACAAATTAGAGTTCTGAAGAGTTAATGCTTGGCGGAGGGACAGACCACCTGCTTGAAAATGCGTCTGAAACAGCTGGATTTTCTTTGAATATTATGAGAGAGTGTGATGCTGCTGAAAGAGAAAGAGCATAAAGGATAAAAAAGAAAGCGTCTTTACCTAACTAGATCAGAGCCAGAAAAGGATTAATTTATGAAAGAAGAGTTGCTAGAGACCCAAGTATTAAACTGTACAGTAAGCTATTTTGGGAAGAGGGGACTTGCAACAGGATATCAATATTTTTAAAGGCAATTCTTTCAAGACTCATCTATGGGCAATATCCCTACGCAGACACCAAATTAACAAAGCTGGAGAAAGCAACAATCTGCACTGTTATCAACTGAATCCAGCAATTAAGACTTTGCAATTGCTGTACTATACAGTAGGTGGTAAAGCATCACTGCCTTTTACATGTCTCCTTGTCTCAGCAGATAAGAGTGCTTGTCTGATCTTGCCTGGGCTTGAGAGCTTAGAGTTGGGCTTAGTAGCTAATATTAAGCAATGCATTTAGATGGAAGACTTCTAAGGAATACTTAGAAGGTTATAGGCTAGACTGGGAATTTAAAAAAAAAAAAAAAGGGATTTCCAGATTGTTTTCAAAGGACACTGCATAGATATGTCCACAAACACAGCAAGGATACAAGGAATGTATCAAGAGATGCATTCATTTTTTGAGGATTTTTTTAACACACATCTTATGTTTCTCAATCAACATGTACTGGTTTTGAATGACACAAACAGAAGAAAAAATATATTAAGACATCAACATTACAACAAGACTTAAAATTTGTTGATGCAAAGAACAGGGCAAGTGAGACAGGCTCCCATGATCAGCTGGGAAAAGTTAAAATATAATTAACAATTTGGCCAAATTAAGATTGGTAGCTGAAAATGGAAGCAAGAAAGGACACATGTGGATCTTTTGCTTTTTTCATGGTCTTCTTCAAACCAGAAGGATCAGCCATGAAATCCTTCTTTGCAAATAAGGAATTCTGACATTATTGCTTATTGAATAATGATTATTATTGATAATAATAATAATAATCAATTATTACTAATAATCAACAATGTTATTATTATTTGAAATACCACATTATTGCTGTTATTAAAAGTAACAAATTTGATAACTATATTAATCTATTGAAGTAAAAGCAAATAAGAACCTTTTTACATCTTAAGGATTAAAATACGTATTTGGCATAAACTTTCAGGCATAACGTTTGATCCAAAAATATTCAAACTGTAATACTTTTGTTAATATTTAAGATATTACATATTTAAGAAAAAATAATCAAGCTTAAATATGTTCATAAGCAAATTCACTTGGAAATATGTCCTGATACACCTAAATGGAACTTACTGCTTGATAAATGGGTTTAGGATTACAATGTCAATTTTACTGGAAAACTGTATGCATGTTTTCCTGAAATGTCTTACAATCATTAATTCAGCCTACTAAACAATAACAGTTTTTGGGATTGTAATAATATTTATTAGCATCACAATTACTTAGAATGATGCCACACAGTAAGCCTTGCTGGAGGTATGCTTGACAAAGTGATGCTGCATTTTACCCAACTGAAAGTTACAAAGTATCAAACAGGCACAAGAGCTTAGTAGTTAAGAGATAAGATTCTAGCATGATGTAATATCAGAAGGTATCGTAGTATAATTAAAATTCTTTTCAAAATATTTGTTCACTGAAGTGTCTTTCTTGCTTTTCAAGTTTTATCACTGATGTGGAACTCCACCCTTATGTGATTTTTTTTGTTGTTGTAAGCCTTATGACAACTGAGGTAATTTCTAAAAATAATCTCTATTAAAACTATTTTACATTGGTTCATCATCTTGAAAAAAATATCTTGGATGTTATTCTGAATTTTTAACATACCAAATTTGAAGCTAGTTCTGGACTTACCTTTTTCTTTCTACTAGTGTATTCATGATTACAATCAATGTAGCAATTTATAAATTTCCAGGCTGGGAGAGAAAAGATAACGATAAGATCAAGTATATTTTTTCATAAACCATATTTTAGAGCTTCTTTTTATCAGAACACCTTAACATCTCTAGAATTATTAATTCTAGAAAGGTAAGCTTTGATTCCCAGGAATGCCTGCTATGGCTGAATAAGAGTTTACTCACTTCTCAAAGGGCAAATTTGAAAATAGCACGGTTACTGACAAAGCAATTGCTGTGCAAAGAATACATAATAATCCTGACTGTTCTCTTTTAAGTATAACTTGATTATACCATCCACTAAGAGGACTTCTATTTCCTGAGTAATATTCACTTGCCAATATAAGCTAAGGCATTTGGACATGCAAAGTTACTAATGAGTCTTGTGATAGTTAACAGTTTAAATTTCATATGTTGTTGACAACATATGCTATAGACAACAGTGCTATAAAATCTGCAACTTGAAGCCACCACTTCATTGTCAAGGCCAACTATATTGACTTTGGCATTCGCTACAAATACTTTTCACCTCAATTAGTATTTTTATTACCTTATAAAATGTAATGATTCATCCACTTACCATATACAAAATCAGGGAAAATCCCTACTCCATGTGCCTTGATTATTTCAAAAGGAAGGAGGGCTGAAACTAGGTAACTTCCAATGTGCCTTTTTAATTCAATCTGGTTATAGTGATCAAAAGAGGCAAATTTTCATTTTATCTTAACTCTGTTATACAAAGTTTCACTGAGAATAACAGAGCAAATCAAATCATACATACTATATATTCATTACTAACACATGTGACACAAATGATGCAACACAAGCAACTCTGGAACTTACAAACATACACAGGTATTTGCTTCCTTTCTAATACATAAAATTTAGGAATTATAGATTTATTATGGGAATGCTATATATATCCACAGAAAACTTAAATCTTTGATAAATGACAAATTTAAACTTGGTTTAACAATAACAACACAGACTTGTACCTATCTCCCTCAGCAAAAGGTTTTGTATAGTTCAGATTTTTTTTATTTAGTAAAATGCATTTTGAAACTTTGATCTATTCCCATTCTCTGCAGCTGCTTTTTGTGAAATATTAAAAAATGCTAAGAATTTATAAAATATTTGCAATTTTCCTTTCATCCCAAGAAGTTGTTGAAAGAAAAATGTTTATCAGGGTCCAGTCTGAGCAGGGAATAAACAAAATGGAGATTGCTTCAGTAAGAAGGTTGTGGTTTATTGAAGAGCAAAGCCAGACAAGCATGGTTCTGGGAAAGCTGACCACATGTAACTGGGAATGGTGGGTTTTTATACCTTCTGGGGCTTTTGAGGTTGTTTCCTGTTCCTGTTTGAGGCTTTGTATTTTCTGTGTCATGTACTTTGACCTGAGTCTGAGTGTGCCTTTTTGGTACTGGTGGGTTAATCCTACTATGTTTCCTATCCTTAGAGTTTGGGTGGGGAATGTAGATTTTAGGGGTCTTTGTCTTTCTAATCTCATCAGCTTCTAGCTTCTTGGCTAAACCATTCTGAAAGGATTATCACATCTGCATTTTTAAAAGTTGGTTTCTGCTGAGCTTTCTGGCTGGGGGGGGGAGAGGTTTCTGTCTTTTTAAAAATCTTCTCCATTATTCCTTTGGATAAATATATTCTGCCTTTTTAATATTCCCCAAAATATTTCTTTCTCTGGATTCTTCCCACAAAGTCCAAAATAAATTTATTGTCAATTCACTCCTACTTGTCACCAAAACAACTGAACAACTAAGCATGCTCACCTCCGTTTTTGTTTTGAATATGGATAGGAATGGTGGTGGAAATTGTCAAATTCAAATAGCCAGAAGTTTTCTATTCTATTTTCTACATAACAAGAATCCTGTGTGGTGAATTGGGCTGAGTGAGAGTGACTGTCCCAAAGTGACCCATGTCACTTTCATGTCTAAAGTAGGATTAAAAGTCCCAGTTTCCTGGTTTTTAGTCTGATCCCTTAACCACTACTAGACCATGCCTTTCCATCATTTTCATATTAAGAGTGCAACTTTATTGCTATGTCAAAAAGAGCTTCTAGGCAAATTAATTTGTAAGCCTGAATCTTATTTTTCTCACATTTTCCCTCCCTCTCTTTCTCCCCCCTTTTTTTTAAAAAATATTCCAATATAAAAACCCATCTCTGTGTTATGATGTAGAATGTTTTGCTGCTGCTTACTTCAGAGCAAATCGGGTAGTAAAAAAAAAAAAAAAAATCCTGCTACAAATTCACAAAGAAGTAAAAATAGCGAAGAGAATGAAAAGGGTGGCTGAAGCCAACCGAACACAAACGAGCAAAGGCAATATGCCAGCCAGAGTGGTTACTCAGCCGGTAGCTTTCTGACCTGGCCGGGGGGCTTTTTTTCCCCCTCAGGTGATGTAAAGCAGCATCTTCGCGGCCTAACCACACCCCTTCCCAGCCCCAGGATAAACACAAAACAGCTTCCACCCGGAACAAAAGAGGTGTGGCCAACAGCGGAAGGCGTGGCTTCGGAGCCGAGCAGGAGGCGGGCTAATGAGGCAGGTTAAAAGAGGGACGGAAGAGAAAAGGGGGCGGAGGGTGTTTGGCGTTGGAACCGTTGGGCTCCGGAGGGCCGGCGCTGCGGGGCATCGCTAGGCTTTCGGCGAGGGAAGAGCGGCGGCCACGCCTGTCTAAGCCTTCGCCCGCCTTGGGGGAGCGGCTTGAGCGCGGGAGGGGAAGAGCCAGCAGCTGCTACCGCTAGTGCCGCCTTGTCCAAAGAAGAGGAAGCGGGGGAGGTAATTGAACGGAGGGCCGCCGCTCCTTTGCCAACCTCAGTTGGTCAGGCTGGGTGTGGAGGGAGCGCCGGGGAAGGGCCGCATACAGCCGGCGAGCCAGTCAACCAGCCTGTGCCGCTCTTGTGGTCGGGACAGGGCTGAAGATAGTGCCGCGCCTTCGGTTCTGCAAAGACATTTCAAGCCTGAGCTACAAATATGTTCTTTTATCTCGGTGCAAAGACAGCGTCAGGAAGGAAGAGGACGCCGGAGATTTACCTTGGGCTGTCTTCCCCGAGTAGGGCTTTGCTACTTGCTATTTTCCAAAACTCTCCGGCCGGCCCTTCCTGTCATTTTCCTGCCCGGACGCCAGAGCCGTGCAGAGCGCCGAAGGCACCGCCGTGTCTGCGTTGTCTTCGTCAGCGCGCGCCTTCTGCGTCCGGCACATTTGCTGGCTTCTGCGTGCACCGGAGCTCTTCCGTGCTTTGTCTTGCGGTGCTTGTCCTGCAGCCCCTGCCCGTTCGCTCGCATCTTAGCACCTTCGGCGCCAGGCGTCGCTTCCTCGATTTGTTAGCCAGGGTCCCTCGCTTCGTCTCGGTTTAGCCCCGGTATTAAGCGGGGAGAAAGGGCGGGGGTGGCGAGAGAGGGTGAAGAAACGAGCATCGGGACCTGGAAGGGAGATCTAGTGAGTTGTGGGGCGTGTTTGCGATCCGGAATCTCGCGAACTAGAAAGAAGAGAAAGCGTGTGATCGAAGTTGGGGAGGGGGTAGAGGAGGAGAACGAAGAAGCTGGGCTCTTGGCTCCTCTTCTATTTCCTCCCCTCCTCACCCGAATTTCGAGAGCCAAGTGTATCGATTGGAGGCGAGGCGGAACAGAGCGGTCGTTTCTCTTCGCCGGTCCGGCTCTTTCTGCCGTCGAGCCCTGTATGCGTGTCCCCTCTGTATGGTCTCCGTTGTGCTGGCGCTGGGGGAGGAGGAGGCAGGCGGGGGGGGGGATGGGGACAGGGCGTGTGTCTGTGTCGAGTGGTGGATCCGAGAAGCAGACGGGCCGCGCTTGGGCCGCTCGAGTGAGTCCACTTTTTTCTCGGCCTCCTCCCCCGCCCTTGCTCCTTGTTCTTATCCAGTGGCCAAAAAGCGTTTTAATATCGAGAGCAGGATGAAAGGGGCTTGTTGCGTCCTGCCAGTTTTATCAGCTGAAACGCGAAGCCTAGTCGTGTGAGGCTGAGAGACAAAAGCCTGGGGACGAATGAAAAGAAAGCGTTGCTGTAGGGAGCAGCCGAACAGATGACAGAAACGGCAAGCTGCAGAGCGACAATGCGAAGGGAGCGGGAGGGGGAGCCGGACGGTAAGTTCAAACGTGGCTTTGGAAAGCTCCGGTGTTTCCTAAGGCTTCCAGGCTTTGAACAAAGAAGGCTAAGAAAAACTGTAGGGGAAGTCCTGAGGTATAAAGGGAGAGAAGCAGGTACAGAGTGGGTTCAGATGGCAGAGTCTCATGGGCGATTCGAAGCTGGAGGTCTGTTCAGAATGAGACGGGGCTGTTCATGGTTTCAAGGTCACTTGCGGTCCAGATAGAAGACAGGAATGTAATTCTAGGTATCAGCAAAGCTTTAATGCTTCTTATTTTGGAGAGAGAGAGAGAGAGAGACTGCTTTGTTTATAATTTTTTTTGCTGGCTATCTTAAACCACAGGACAATATATTATTTATCATTCCGGTGTCGCTGTGTTGCTAGCCTGTATACAGGAAATAGATTTGGGGGGGGGGGTCATCCTGTTTATACATTATACAGACGAGTGGCTCTGTTATGCAAAATGAAGTTCACTGTTATGTATAAGCTAACAAATGTTTGGTACTTTTATTCTCAGGCCAGGACAGAAATCCTGTGGTTTAACGGTTGCAATTGAAAAGAGGTTTACTGAAACACGGGATGACAAAGAAAGCACTGGAAAGAAAAGTTCTTCTATTTCTACTTTACTGGGTTCCTGAAGCACCATGATTTGAAGGACGGATTTGGACTACAGAACTTTGGAAATCTACGTATCAAATGAGGCACAGCCATATGTTTGCAATATATGCTGCATTTGCTGATGGAAAAAATGATCTGTTTTTAGAAGATGCTATTCTGGGGAAATCTAAAAGCCACATATATTTGGGAATGACTGGAATTTAGAGAAGAAACTTGGGAATTCTTCATGTTATCTCTACTTTGGATGCATTAATCTCATATAATAGCATGCAGCATTGTAAGTAGCAACTATAGTCATGGCATTGTGCAACCTTTTAAATGATGCATCATTGAGCTTTGCTACAAACATAGCTATATCTCTAAAGAGGATTTCCAGCAAAACAAGATCAGACATATTTGGATTGAAAGGTGCTTCTTGCCCAAAGATGCCACTGACTATTATGTGAAGGCATGAACAGATTTGTGGATTGCATTCTGTCCTGTGGCATAATTCCATACACCAGGCACTTTGGCTTGGATTTAAGAATCTGTTGTCTTCAGTGAAACCTAAGATGTGCCCTTGATTTGGACCTGTCTCAGAAGGTAGTCTGTAAAATGGCTCAGACCAGCTTGCTGCAGGGGAAACAGTTTTATTGCAGAGAGTGGGTTTTTCACAAACTACAGCACTGCCTCCAGGAAAAGACAAGCTTCAGCAATAGCTCTGCCAACAAACCATCCATTGTGCTGAATTCTGGATCTAATGCTTGTGTTGTCCCTGGCAAAGGTGCATCCTGGGGTGTATTGTTAGTAGGAGGTCCTGGTAGTGGCAAGACAGCAGTTTGCACTGAATTATTATGGCCAAGCTCACCTGCAAACTTACAAAGAGGTTTACACCACCAAGCACTAGCCTTCCATTTTTGTAGGGCACAGGACTCTGATACTCTCTGTGTGGGGAGGTTTATTAGAGGCTTAGTTGCCCAGATCTGTCAGAGTGGACTGATTCAGGGTTACGAGGACAAAGTGAGAGATCCTGCTGTTCAAAGTCTCCTGCAACCTGGGGAATGTGAGAGAAACCCTGCTGAAGCTTTTAAAAGGTAATAAATGACACTTGAGTATGTTTCCTTCATACTGCTTGATCAAATAAGGCGCTTTCATAAAAACAGAAATTGCTTTTCATGTGGGTGGTATTTTCTGCTTACAGGAATTGCTCAAATAAGCCTGTGGAAAAAAGTTCACATGGAAAGATAAATATTGGGGATGGTATCCTGAGAAGTTGGTATGAAACACATTCTAGATTGGCATCTTCTGATAACTGGGACTGGGAGTTGGGAGGGAAGAAGAAACATGAAAGGTAGTTAAAGATTAGAATGTCTCCATGGTTATATTGATAGAAGCCCTTGCTTTTAAAGATAAATATCTGTTTAAAGTTTTCTCAGTGGCTTTCTGGGAACTCTACAACAGTAGACAAATACCAAACAAATTTGGCAGGTTGATCAAAGCATGCGCTCTGGTGCTATCTTGTTGATAATTCATTTTCAATTATAGTTTATGTTCAAGTATAATTTGAAGTTTATTCAAGATAGGAAAGTGTTAAAGAATGTTGATGTTGCTGCCCAAAAATCTGAAATACCTTTTTGCAGCTATAGTGTTGAAGGATGAAAAGCTGGTAGGAGCATTTTATTCCTGAGTAAAGGTGCTTCTACCCCCAAAACTGAAATTCTTCCTTCAGATTATAGAAATGGAAAAGCTAGCAAAGGTTGAAAATGAAATAGTATCTTGAGCATATGTCATGAAATTCAGTAAGTGCTGCTCTGAAACTTTACAATATTTGATGACTTAGTCTGTTTTATTGTCTGTAAAATAAACAATATATGAAATAGATTTTTGAGGCTATTTCATTGGAGTTGGATTTGCTGAGCCCTGGGCAATGTGTACACCTGTAAAGAACTTGCTTTTAAACAAAGTGCATCATTAACAATTTTTAATATATTAGGCTGTATAAATATATAAGTAACTTTCATTCTTGATTTGAAGGCCTGCAGGAATACCTTTTTTATGATAACAGTATGAGTGAATACAGGATCATTATTGACAATGATGTATATTGAAACATTTGGTAGTCTGACTGTGTAAGTTTTATTGTTAAATCATGCACTAGATATAAATTTCATGCAAGTTAAAAGCATCATAATATTTGCAGTGTAACTACTGATTTTATAAGAAGCAACAGTAGATATTAAAAGCTTACTATAATTTGCCAAGGAGGACTATTAAGAATATAAGTCATGATGGCATTTTATCTTTTGTGAAATTTAAGTTGTAACCAGAGGAAGAAAACTTGCATTGGTAGCTATGATCTATAATTCTTTAATGTTCTAGATCACGGGTCCCCAATCCCCAGTCTATGGACCGGTACCGGGCCATGGCATGCTAGCAACCGGACCACACAAACAAAGCCCCATCTGTGTGATGCAGGCAACACACAAAACCATGCCCACTCTGGTCTGTAGAAAAACCTCTCTCCATGTAACCAGTCCCTGGTGCCCAAAAGGTTGCGGACCTCTGTTCTAGATCAAAGCTCACCCCAGATGTTTTGTGTTATAGATCCTATTAGCACTCCCCTGTATATTCACTGATGAGCAATTGAAAATTTGTAATCCAATGCACTTAGGAGGTATCATGAACCTTACTGTAGTAGTAGTAGTAATAGTGATGGAGACCTGCATCCTTATATAGTGCTTTCACAATATATGAGAAATCATTGTGCACTTCCCAATGAGGAGAATTTCCCCCTCCAAATCAGAATGTAAAAGAACAAATAAATAGAAGAACCCTAGTACTTTCATTGTTGATGAGGAATAGCGTTTGCCCCTTACTTTTAGTTAATTCCATTCATGCAGAAATTGATGGGAGCTTCTCCTCTCCTACTTTACTTGATCCTTTATAATTGATTTCAGTTGAGTTATACAGGTCTTTCCTAGTGTAGCCTATATAAATTTTGCATATATAGTCTTTTTGAACGTCTACAAATTTCATATATTGGTGGACATCAACTCCTAGAATTCCATTCATCTTCAAGCTGCCAAGATTGAGAAATACTGATCTTTATGGAATGCGTGTACAGCAGTCTTCTAGACAATTGTATATGGAATTGGGTAAATGCCAGGTGAAAGAACTACCCCAAGTGGTGATGAACAACATAGGAGTATTTGTAAAATAGTCTACAAAATTTCTGTTTAATAGATTGCCTTAATGGTTGTATTTTTCTATCTGCTCAATTACTCCTAACACCTTCTGTGCATAGAAGCAGTCTTTTATTATTTGTAGGCTAAATTATTTACTATTGTTATCTGTTACTTCTTTTTAGAACCATTGTGACATCAACTTGATAAAAATCCTCTTGGAAAGGCTGTGCTACTTTTGTGATTCTACAATACTTAGCACAATAATGCTAAGGAAGTACTGAATAATCGCTATTTGTTTTTCTGAAATAATCCTGTTTAGGTAATACTGTGAATTAAAAAAAAATGTAGGAAACTATGGTTTTTCACCTGAAGTTCCAGTAGAAGTATGGTGAATGATGAGGGGATATTGAAAATTGCTAGTCAAGCAAGCCATACAATAGGCTCTTCATCCCTAAATTGAGTAGTAACACTAGAAAAGAAATGGCATCTGGATTTGATACCCCAAGGTTATTGCCATTTTTCTGTCTTTTGCAATCAGAATCTTAAGAAGAGCTTTTCTTTATCTCTTTGATAAAAATACATGATACTTACAAACCTTAAAAGCAGCAACGGTTATTATGACTAGCAACATTGATGATAGACAAACTCAGGGGAATATCTCACACTGTATTTCAGAAACTGATTGTTTCGCCAAAACCTAAGAATTGTTTTATTATTTCTGCTCCATACTAAAATCTTGGTTTCAGGTTATTGCGGCTTTAAAACCCGTAAACAAAGCTGCAGCTTGAAGTTCTGCTTTTGAAATGCCTATAAAGTCAGTCAGTCAATCCTCTCTTTAATAAAATCACAAACTAGAAATGGAGTTTGAATCTTCAATTGTGGCACAACAAAATGAGAGTAATTTCTTTTTTTGCACAGACATGCTAGTAATGTGAAATTTGTGTGCTTTAACATGTAAATAAGAAGGTTTCCTAGAAATATATTTTAAGATTAACTTTATAAAAGAGGAGGTAACAAAGGCTTGCCCATTAATGGGGCTGAGAAGGTAATATTCATACTTACTAATTTTCATAGTCCTATATGGAACATATTAATCTGAAAGTCCCAATGATTTCATTTAATACTTTAAAACACACAATACCAACACACATTATAAAGTACCATTATATGTAACCAGAAAATAATTTGAGCAGTTATCTTTTATGTACATTTGTTGTATAATTCCCAACCTTCAGTACTGGCTGAAAATCCTGGAGTTGAAGTTCTAGATCGTATGAGAACATAATGTTGAGGGAAATGTCTTTATGTCTTAGTGTGCTCACATCGGAATTTCCAAATGTGTGGTATTAGTGCAGTTATGTTCAATTTGTTTAGGCTAGTCCAAACATAGTAAGACTTGTACCAGTGTGGTGGGAATCTTCACATAGTGTTTATATTCTGAGAGCAACTTTCCAACAGAGATAATAAAATGCATCTACATGCTTTAAGTGCTCCGATGACATTTAGGAAAATCCCTTCAACTTGGTGAGAAAATATTGTTAGCAACTACAGGTCTCTTTAGAGCTGCTAGTGGTGGATGTTCTTTGAACTGGACAACTATACTGGAATCATGAGCAGCGTTTCTAAGTACATTAAAAATGCAGGATTATGTTTCTATTCAGCTATTTGAATATGGTAGAATTTAGAATATTAAACTTACCTAGAAAGAAAATATATGGATGTGCCATGTATAACTTCTATAATTATTTAATTTTCATTTTATTCATTTTTAACTCAAGATGGTGAACCTATCTAATACTCTTTCCTCCTCCTATTTTCCTTTCAACAACAACTGGGTGAAGTGACTTGGGCTGAGAGAGAGTGATTGGGTCAAACTCACCCACCCAGTTTTCGTGTCTAAGGCAAGACCTGAACTCACAGTCTCCGGGTTTCTAGCTGGGTGCCTTAAACACTAGACCAGTGGTTCTCAACCTATGGGTCGGGACCCCATTTGGGGTCGAACGACCATTTCATAGGGGTTGCCAAACAAGGCTGTCCGCCATTTTTTCCCCTTTTCTTTGGCCACGCCCCTGGCATCCGATGATGTATAAGTGGTTGGGGGTCACCACAACATGGGGAACTGTATTATGGGGTCGCAGCATTAGAAAGGTTGAGAACCACTGCACTAGACCATAATGGCTCTGTCAGATTCTGATTGCTTTCAGATGAAAGAGGTTGTATGAAATATATTATTACTACAGGACATGTAAGATCCAGTTTCCTAAAATGATACTATGTATGTGTTGTTGTTGGTGGTGCATTATAATATTCATTGGCATGATCTAGGTTGTAGCTTGAAAAGAAAATCTATAAATAGCAAGTCATGTATTTTAAAGACATGTCTGTACCAAAGCAGTTCATATATTATGTGGTTTTGTGAAGGGTAGTTTCCTGACTAAACTACAATTTGCTGGGTGTGCACAATATGCTCCTATCAAACAAATCATATTATAGAGGAGTTTGATACCATATTAAAGTGGTGATTTCTTAAGATCTGTATATATTGAACTGGTAAGGCTCAAGTCTCAGTCTATATATGGGTTGCATACACTGGAAGTGTGATACAGTCTTTAAAAGTGAGCAAAACTTCTAGATTACAGTCACTTTAAAGATAGGTGTAGATTTTTTTTAAATTGAAATGTTTAGTATACTATGTTCTTGAGTCATTCCATCATCTATCTGTGGGGCTTAAGTGCCTTTGTATCTATTATATTTTAATTAGTGCACCTGACCAACAGTTGCTCAATTTCTGTGAATTCAAATAAAGAAAAACACTTTGAAGACTTTGTGGCCTCCAGAGATTGACAGCCAGTTCTGTCATAGTATGTTGAAGGAGGAAAAATGGAGTATGTTGAAGGAAACCATTTTCA